AAAAGCTGCATTATGTGTTTTATTTAACCAAATCATGTTTCTAGGTATTATATTTTATATATAAGTAGAGTCCCTTGGAGCACATACATTATCCGTACTTCATGAATGAGAAGGGCACATGCATAGAGCATATGCAGAGATCTTGATTGGACTTGTCACAGTGTCGTGGATGACAGATGTACAGCTCTGGTCCTTCTGAAGAGCTGACGTGTTGAAAGCTTGGATGCCTGTAGACTTTTAATTGCCTATGGGATTCCAAAGACTTTATGTTTGGATGTGAAGTAGCAAAATGCCTGGTTTTTGTGGATATTGGGATTCCCTGCAGTGTTTCACCCCCAACTCTCCATTCCACAGTGGGCTTTTGGGTTTATATATGGGCTTATATATGTATGTATATATTTTTTAGCTTTTTGTCTCATGCAAAAGCTGTGGAGCTTGATGAAGAGTTGCCCCAGTAGAAACAGCTCGAGTTCTAATAGTGGCATGTTTTGTGATTTATTGGCTTAATCTGTGTCATAGCGGAAATGACTTTTAATGGACCTGTGCCTCTTAACAGTATTTTTTCCCCATGCACTGTTTGTTTAAAAGCTAAGTGGGAGGAGAGGAACGTGTTGCTTTTCTCTTCTTGGCTGCTGTCTGTGCATTCACACTGCCATTACTGAAGCTAGAGGATGAGCTTCCTGAAAACAATGTAAGAGAAAGACTGAAGCCTTCGTTTGCTGTAGGAGCACAGCCCAATGGAAAGACCCATGTCAGAAAAGAGGGTATTTGTGTGAATTTCCAGAGATGAGCAGAGGAGGTGATTTGCTTTATTATGGGCGTGTTAATATGAATCTCCAAAGGGTGGTAGAGGTTTTCATAGAAGTAATTGAAATGTAATGTAAAATAAACATGCCTTCTGTTTGCTCCCTCAGGAAGCAAATATTTCAGTGGCCTTTTGGAGAGCTTTAGGTAACTTCTAGGGTTCCTGTATTCTCAGGAAAACCCAATATAAAAAGTCAGCACAGCAACAAGTGAGGTAAACCCATCTTTGAGTCCAGTTAATCACAAACGATGTGTTTATTTCAGATTATAATTTTATAACTAAAGTATTAAAAAAATTAAGTGGGGGGAAAGAAACTAAGGAACTGTAATGCTAAAGAATTTATCTACAGTGCGGTTTGACATAGGGAACACTTGCATCTTGGAAATGGGAAAACCAGGGCACAGAATGCGAGTTACCGAGTGCTGCCCATGAAATCTGCAGCTGCTCTCCAGGTCCCTGTTTTCAGGGTGCCTAGACCTCATTTCTCACTCATCAGTGCTGCCCAGGCCAGCAGTAGTTGGAGTTCTTGGGCATAGGAACATAATCAGGTCAGCAGAAAAGCTTGCACTTCGATTCAGGTTTTCAAAATAGCATTTTCCTATTTGCCTTTCACAGCTTTGGAGTGGTGCCTTTCCTCAGTGGGCCGCTATGAAGCACAGAGGGAGAGAGTAACTGTGGCCTCAGTAGGTTTTCACCTATGCTTTTGTGGGTGATAGTCCCAGCAAATCTTATTCTGAGATCAGATGTTGTTTAGTACTTGCTTGATGCGCTGTACTTTTGGAAGGACTTTCCCTGGGTGATCTTTTCTTGGATGACCTCTCCATACTGTCATTAAAACTTGGACACGTTGGTCTTCTTGACAGTTAGTTCTGCATTCTCATTATGTCCATTCCTATTGTAAACATGCTAAAGTTGCTGCTCTTACTGCTTAGGATGGATTTTTCCTCTGTTGTTTTGAAGTTTTAGTAGAGATGGAAGTTAATCTTTAAGAGAGTGAGGCTGGTAACGATTGGATGGCCGAGCTGGATGGGTCACGCTGGGTCTGTCTTTTCACGTGCCTGGTAGATGATGTTCTGCTGACTCCAGCTGGTTTTTTGGAAAGCAGAAAAACAATTTGTTTTTCCTTCCCATAAAGTATAACCCTTTGTTTATCCTTGTGCCGCCGCAAGTTTCCATAATGCAGAGACTTGCAAAGAAAAGAAAGGGAGGAAATAGCTCCTTTTTTACACTGTTCTTCCTATCGGAGAAGAGAGTTTAATACCGAGTTGAATTGTTGACCTCTGTGGAGGTTATTATTAGAATTGGCTGATTCGTGTGTGGGGCTGTGTCTGATTGACTGAGTCCAGTTTATGGAACAAACTACCTCGAGCAGGCTTGGTGAGGCCAGTTGCAGTTTTTCTAAGGGACTTTGATTTGATTCATTTTTGATGTTTGAATAATACTTTTTTGCAGGTCTTCATTAAATTCAGTTCACTGAAGTAATTGAGAACAGCTCCATTTTCCAAGGAAGATGTTTCAGTTTGTTTCACAGTGTTGAATTGCTTGGGCTTTGTCCCTACAGTGAATCTCTAATGCTGGTACTCCTTTGTTTTCTGCCATGAGGATGTTACGAGCTGCTTGCAGAGTTTGGGAAATCAAGGGGAGTTTGGGAAAGTTCACTGTAGAGAGTTATATGATGAGGGCTATCATCCGACAGCTTTTAATGCTATATTTCATACATATAAAGGAAAGAAATAAATGAAGTCTGGGGGACCTGGATGTCTTTACTGACCCAGTTAAGAATTGCGGAAGCAGAAGTCAGCATTAAAACCTTACTGGGCCTGATCTATAGTGTCATCGGAAGAACACGTTTGTATTTACAACCAAAGGCTGTATTTACAACCTTTTTTCACTTGCTTTGTTCCTTAAGAGGCTCTGGCTACCCACATTTTATGCACTTTTGGAATGCAATAACAATTGTGGCATCATCTCTTCAGAATTCGTTTTCCTTCCTGAGATCAAGGCAGCGATAAGGCCTTACAAAATACTCACTTGGTTTTGCTTTCCTGGCCTGAGATGGATTTAATTGGATGAATTGCTGCTTTTCTCCTTCCATTGCTTTATGACCTTTGAAATAGCTTGCTATGATCTTTCAAATTTTGCAATACCCTTGCTGCTCCACTCAGAAAAATGAAATAGCTGTTTATGTTTGACAGCAGGAACAGGAGAGCAGCTGTTTCTGCACGTGCCCGACCAAGTGCTTTCAAATGTGTCTTTCAGTGTTGTCAAATGCCAATTTAAACTTACACCTACGTGCTGTGATAACCACCTTCCCACACGCCTTTCTCACTGTTTTGCAAGCATTTAAAATAACGCCATTAAATGAAAAGTCTGTTATCCTCACTACATCTTCTGGACCATTTTGGGACCTGTGTGAAAAGACCCTGATACTTGGAAGAAGAAGGTGGTGAATGGGTTTGCTTTTTATCCCTGTGGTCGGCAGATGAGTATCAAGAGTCTAACGTGAGAGGCTTTGAGGAAATAGAAGCATAGGTGGCTGTGTCTTCTTTATGTTGCTTCTCAGAACGCAGTGTAGTACATTAGGTGATAAATTGCAGTTGTTGGTTGTATGTGTTCTAAAATGCTGTTTGCCTGATCTCAGTGCTCCTTCGGCCTCTGCTGCAGGATCAGCCAACCAGGGCTCCTTTAAATTAGACACACATGTCTATATGTTTTTAAACAGTTTGTTTCTTGGCCAACCAGTGAGAGAATATGAACTACTACATTGTTTGTATTAGACTAAGAACTGATGAAAACGGAGATTAACCGTTTGCTTGATAGGCCCCTCCTTCCATCCATTCTCCCCCCCGTATGCAGTATTTTTTTCATATATATATATATATATATATATATATTAGTGTACCGGGCTGGATTTAAGTCTAGTAAATGATGTTACATACATAGCTGATGGTCCCAGTTTACTACTTGAAGTTCGAACACTCAAGCTCACATCTTGTTATCAGGGCCCTAATTAGTAAACAGGTTTGTGGCTTTATCTTTGGGACTTGAGGAGCTGAACTTTCAGGCTCTTCCCTTGACAAAGGGATGCCACTGAAATCAGGCTGCTGGAACCACGCAGCGTGTTTGCAGTGCCAGGGCTGGAATACAGAAATTCAGATAAATAGTAGGATTTGAGTGCTGAACACAGGCAAAGGTTACAGATTGATGTAGAGAGAGCAGCCACCCGTCTGAAATTGCTTAATCTAAAATGATGAAGAACAAGGGGAGGGGAGACAGGACATGGGAATAGGACAGTAACAGCAGTTAGGGTGACAGTCACCTTCCTGCTTCTAGTTGTGGTTTACTTAAGCTTTTCGTTTTGTTCAAGCATTATCAGATCGTTTTCTAGAATTTTAAATTCTGTGTTTTTAGTTTTAACAGTTAATTCTGGGCTGTTATTTGGGGAGATTTTTAAAAATTCATTTAGTCTTTTAATTCAGACTTTAATATTTTAAGTGGCAGTTAACATGGGCCCAATTCATTTTAAGCCCTGCCGTATTTTTGTTCACAGTTACTTTCAGTAGCTTTCTATTACAGGTATTTTCACCTATTAATACTCAGAAATCGTTTGCTATTCTGTGTTCACGTATAAATCTGGTTTTAATGATAACGTAAGGGTAATGAAAAGCAGGTGAGCAACGGAAACTTTTGTCACTGATTTGAAAGGAATTACCAGTTCTCTCCCTGTGTAAAGTTTAGTGGTTGCAGAAGTATCTTCACAGGCTAAGAGCTTGCTTATAGAATTATTAAAAACAAAACCAAAAGTGTAATACACCCTCTCTTACCACAGAAATCTGGAAGAGCTTGCAGTGAACTGTAACTGTTGACCAACAGAAAGATGTCAGTCAAGTTAATTAAAATGAGAATATACAGAACCAATCCAGTCAAACTTGAATATTCCCCTCACCCGCTGTATGGAAATGGCATTAAAAAAATGCAAACATAAGGAGAAACGAGTATTTACACATAATTAACTGTTCAAAATAGCTCCTCTAAACACAGCCTTATCTTCAGGAACAAAAATGCAAGCATTTACTGAGTGATATTGGCAATTGGAAGGTTTTTGTTTAGACTTTTTGTTTTCTTGGCAATAAATAAAATTCTTTGTAAGAAGTCATTAAGATATTTCTTAATGTTGCCTTTTAAAACTTTGCAGGCTGCTATCCTTGCCCAGGGCCAAACATGAACCCTATTGCGCTTGGAAGCCGCTGGCTTGCTTATGCAGAAAATAAGGTAAGGAAAGGTTTCATTTAGAAGAATACGTCTCTTTGGTTCTAGATTCCATTCTGGTTTTGTATATGGGGGGATAAGGAGAAGAAAAAGTCTCAGAAAACAGCTATGAGAGAAAAATGATCTGTAAGAGAAGTTGCATAACGATGGCGACCTGATCTTTGTCCCACACTGTGCTTTGGTGTTCATACGTGTCCCGTCTTCACTCTGCACATTTGATTTAAACTCATGAACTTGGAAGGCAGAAATACGTAAGTAGCACAGGCAGAGAAGACCACTCCCAACATCTGTTAGCAGCGGGGTCCCTCAATAATCAACCCATTTTCATTTTAAATTTTAAAGCACTTAATTATAGACCCTTCTGAAAGGTGGGCACATGAGGATTCCTAAATTCTACTTGAGGAAACTGAGTCTGGACAGAGGCGCTGGGTTTCTCTGAAACAGCAAAGCAATGCACTTTGGAGATTAGGAAATAACATTCAAATGGCCACTTTTTAATGTATTTGCTGGAAATATTAGGGAAAAAAAATGAAACTGTCACAATTTTTCTTACTTCTGAAGGCAAGAAAATAGAGCCCGAGCAAAAAAATTGCCACTCTTTTTACCCAGCCCTAGGCCAGAGAAATGATTGTGTATTTAAAGTGTTTGAAGACTTTAAATTCAACTCCTTATGCTTGATTTTTATTTCAAAGCAGATGTTCTTTCTCCCTTCCACCTGCGACTGGAATAGCTGTTTCTAGAGCTGAACCAGAAATTATTCGAGGCAGACTTGAGAAATGTATTTATTGTCACACCTTTTCAAGCACAACTGATTTCTCTCCAAATTCAGGCCTGCTTTGCCTTTAATGCTGTGCCTAAGTGGCTCGGTGTAAAACTTAACCAGTCAGCCTGGAATTTAAGGAAGTCCTGCTGCCAAATATGTAAGCCACTGATCAGCAAAAGAATTCTATCACAGAAGGAATTTAAATGGCTTGTGTGTTCCCAGTTGTATTCACTGCGGACTTCCCCTTTCTCCCTAGTTTAGCTATTTTTATTTAAATAATGAAATTTAAGCAGGAAAGGAAAGTGTCGAAATAAAAGCATCTTACAGCAATATTTAATTTTCTTTTAGCTAAACCAGTTAAATGGGCAGCATGTTCTGTGTACAACAACAATTATCTATAGGGGTCTTTTCCCATTTTATTTAGCCAGAATCACAGATTCTATTGTTAATTAGAATTCAAAGGCAAACATTATTTTGGTGGGTTGATGGCAGGTAAAAGAGTCTTGTTTTGATTTATTAATTTGGAAGGAAGGCAGTACAGAGTAAACCCCATGTACATTCTGTTAAACATGAAGTTTAAAGTAGCTATTTTCCTTTGTCATCTCTTTGCTTGCTAGTCATAAAAAGGAGGGGAAAGCCACACTCGGATTCTTAGAATGTCTGATATTTAATGTTACATATACATGGCTAAAGCTTTTGATTATATTTATTTAAATTTATTTGTGGTATTGCTGCCAGACCAAAAATCCCACCATTTCAAAGTTTATGAATTCTTAGTGACTACTCATCTTGTAATTGAAAACTGGAGTTGAGTACGCGACAGTCTGGGTGGCACCCAGAAGATTATAAAAAGGGGTTAAGTGTCTCAGCAGGGCTTTTTGCTCTTTGTAGGAAAAAACACACCACTGTACATGATAAATAAGAGCTATGGTAATGGGTTATGGGTTGGTGTAGTTTAATAGTAGTTACTCGGTCGCTGTCTTTCTTCTTGTAGCTGATCCGATGCCATCAATCCCGTGGTGGAGCCTGTGGAGACAACATTCAGTCTTACACTGCCACAGTCATTAGTGCTGCCAAAGTGAGTACATCATCTGCTGCTGGGAGAGGTTAGCATGTAAGGTAATTATTAGGTTTCCCTGCTGAATTGTACAGTGTGTCATCGCCCCCCCCCCCCCATTCACACGAGAGGAAAACACAGTAAGAAACATGCTGCCCTTAGGTCCTGATCCTGCAGATCTCTGAGTAGCTGTTGTTTTTCACAAAGTATTCCTGTCCTTCTAAACTGACTGTTCTAAATTTCATGTGTTACAAGGAGCAATTTGTATTAGTGACCCCTGTTAATAGAAAATCATAGTAAAATGGTTTTGCGTAATGGCTGTTCATAATATTATAAGCTTACATGATTAGAAATCAACCTTGTGAATTATTAGACTTTTAGCATCATGAAAACTGACTTTACAAGTGCTTGGTGCTTTTTGGACTCAATCACACTAGCATTATGTGTTTTAATCTCTCCGAAGGATGACAGCGCAGCACTGGAGCTAATTAATTACTTGGCAGCTTTCTTTGAAGGTTAGAGTTTATTAATGGCTGTTTACATAAAGGTTGCACTGCGTAGGTTTCTTAGTTCAGATGACGTTCTATTATCCCTCCCTTTCCAGAGAAATGTCTGGGGTTTTATAGTATCAAAAGATGACCATGGCTTGGAAAAATGCTAAGTGAGCCAAAGAGTATACAGAACTGTTGTTTTACTATCCCCATAACCTCCTTTCCTTAAGGACTTGCCTGCAACATTTTGCCAAGTAATTCCTCTTTCACATACACGCACTCACAAAAGTGAGTTTTGGCACCGTCTGGCAAACTTCGTGCTGATTACAAGCTTTCAGTGTAACCACCAGCCTTTTCATTTCTGATATGCACAACAAAACAAATCTAATAATAGGAATTAAATGACAGCGCAGAACAGAAAGCTCAGCGTCACTGAAGAAAACAACAGTTAGAAGAACCCACAGAGAGACACAGGGCATGGTATCTCATGTGAAAACAAAACATGAAAACAAACATATTCTATTAGCATAGCTTTGGACACCGTCTCATTGTGGCTGGAGGAGGAGAAAAATCACAAGTTTTGTACATTGCTGAGGAGAACTTGAATTGCTGCTGTTCTGAAGACATCTGAAATTTGCTCTGTCTCTTTGCGCACTTTCACCAGCAGGGAAAAACCAAACCAGGAGGGGAAAATCTCCCCAAACTCCTTCAATCTCAGCATCAATCACATGGGTTTTACAGCACAGATAACTGAAAAAACAACTGGCTTGGCGTGATCAGTTTTGATCAGATGTGGTAAAACCTTACAAACAGATCACTGTACTGCCAAAGCCAAGCCTGCTCGTAACTGAAGAGGAGCAAACAGGCCAAAGCTTTCTTAAAGCATATAGTGATTGTCAGAGCATTCCATTCGGTATCGAAGACTAAGCACTATTCTGCTTAATCTGTTTCAACAGCCTAAAAAAATCTAAAAGAGGATGATTCTGTGATCTTTCACAGCCCTTAGCCCTCAAGACTCTGGATAACTAGGTTTTAAAGCCAGTGAGGACCAAGATGGTGATCATCATCCAGAAAATCCCACGTTAAGCTGAACGTATGCAAACACCGAAGTAGTGCTGTCGCATGAGTAAGATAAAATGTGTTTATAGTCATAGGAGAGGAAAGATTGTTGTCCTCTGTACAGAGATAAAGTGGTAGTGAAAGTTAGGGAAACAGATTATCATGAGGACACAATCTCTATAGTCCTTTGTATTCTGTATAGCATATTGCTTTTGCTCGCTACTGGCTCTGAGATGTTGCTGTAATAGATAAATACTAATATAGTTTTTAAATATTTGAGTATACCTCAGCCTTACTGTGTTAATTTGTTACTCATACCTGAGTGTATAACACTAAATCTGAAGTGTTTGATTTATTACTGATTTCATTGAATCGTGGCTCACTATCTAGCCTGTTTTCATCTCTGATAACTGAAATGCTGGCTGTCTTGTTGCCAACTAATATACCCCAGATATCTGTTGGTCTTTGCCCATCTCATTACCTCACCATGAACTTCACTCCTTGCTTAAGTAAGTCTTCATTTATAAACCTCTACTGCTGTTCTATCTTATCAGCCTGCAAGGGTTTGTAATTCATTTGCTTTGATCAGCAGAGGTTTTAGCTGTTTTGAAAGTGGATGTCCTTTTCTGTTCCCTGCACTGCTGCTCTTTGGTTCAGAAGTGGTTCCATAAAAGTTCTTGTTTTGTCAGATTATCTTGGGTTACAGCCTTTTCTTTGGGTTCCAGTTTCTTATTGAAGGAAGTGAAAGAACCTTCACATAAAGCAGAAAGATAAAGCTGAGAGAAAAGAGTAATTTCAACAGGGTCACTTTAGAGAATTACCTTTCAGATCCTCTGTAGAAGGTCTCAGTGGCAGTACAGAATATTTACTTTAGTGGTATTCCCTTTGATGAGAAATGGTTTTGAATGTCCTGGTGGGTTTCTCCTCAGTGTGGGGTTCTGCTGTGTGCTGCAGTTGATGCAGCAAATACATTTCTTCCTTAATCAAATAACTTCATACTCAGAAGCTCCCTGTTACCCGAGTAACGAATACCAAGGTCAAAATCGTGACCGTGTTGGAGTGTGTTGTTTACTGGTGCCAAAACTCTTGTTATTCTGGTGACATAATGAAGAAATCCTTTATATCTTCTTCCCGTTTGCTTTGGTACTTTCTGGAAGGATTTTATTTTGAACATGGAATTGATGCATCTCGCAAGAGCATTGCTTTCTGCTGTTGCTGGAAAAGCCCATGCGTTTTTTCCAGCTCAGTCTCTTATTTTCATTTGCTCACATGTGTTTGGTGCCTTTCTGGCTGTTCATATTCTAAAAGGCTCTGATAACTTCTTTAATTTGGCCAAGCAGAAAATCTCTGGGAATAGAAAATGTGTCAAGATTCCAATTCAGGCAAATCCTGAGCAAAGAGAGAAGTGGATGTGTTTGAAAACCGTGAAGATATTCTTCCTCATAGTGTAAAGACTCTTTTCACTCTACCTGAAAACCACAGTAAAATGGCTGTAGGATGTCTTTCTCGGAATAAACCCCGGTATTACTTAACAGTATTAGTGATGGGAGAACATTCAGGTGACTGGTTTGAAATAAGTGTCCAAATGTAAAATTGTTCATTATAATTATCTGTATTTATTCATCTTGGATGCAGCAAGGAAGGGGAAATAGAAAAAGATGTTCTCATGTCCCCATGCTTGTTTTTAATTCTTTGTCTCATTGAAGAGAGGTTTGCTCTCACCATGTCCCTGCTTGAGTCATGTTGCAGCTCATTCTCTGCTTGAGGGGTGCTCGCGCAGACCTTCCCTATCCTAGCGTATCTGAGTGGTCAAACTGGCCGTGCTGTTTAAGATGAATTTCCTAAGAGGTTTCTTCCCTATCCTATCTCTTTTCAGAACCTGCAGCAAGAGCAGGGAAGGGAAACATCTTTGTGAAGCACGAGCATTTCAGCAAACATTTAGTTTGAACATGAATCTATAATCAATCGTGTGCTCACTGTGCTCAAGCTAACCACGAGCCCTGCATACTGCTGTCTACCAGGGCACATCTTTTGGAGCTCTTTCTGCTTTCTGTAGATTTTTCATCTGTAAAGAAATAAATTGTGTCAAATGTGTTTATTACGAGAAACAGGAACAAAATAGTGTTTAGTCACTGGAAGAATAGACGAACTTTGTTGGAACAGAACAGGCTGCATTTTAGTTTTAATTCAAATTCTACTTATTTTTCTATTAGGTGAGGTATGAGTGCGTACATGTATTTTAACTAAATATGGCTTTCTATTTGAAGGAATGTGAACAGTCTTATTTTTAAGTAGATAGCGTACATGTGAGCATACACATAACTTGTGTGTGTGCACAATGTGCGTTGCTGCTTACAAGAGAAACTGGATCAAATATTCTCATTTATAAAGAAGTTTGCATCGGCAGGTTCCCATCATTGGCAAAGGAACTGGGACAGTGCAAACTTTAACCTATTTCATTTAAAATGTATTTGGTCTGTCAAATGTCTAGCATCAAATTATAAACCAAGTTCTTCTCACCTCATAACTTCTTTAGTTGATTCTTTCTCCATATCTTTTAATCCTATAGTGGTAAAGTGATTTAGCAAAGCCTGCATCTGTTTTCTCTTGTTACCTGATAACTTCTTAATGAGTACTAACAGCTTATGTGAGAGCAAGGTCATTAGCTCTAATGGATAGAGGGGACAGCTGATATGGCATGGGAAAGGTTAAAGATTACCAGGGAAGTTTTTGCAAATATACACATAGCACAAAGCAGTGAGTGCCGTAATGGTTTTGCACTGATATTTCTGAGCTAATGGCCCCGGCCACGTCTTTGTTCACCTATTCCTTCTCAGTAGTCCCGCAGTCACAGTCTAACGTGTAGCACTAATTCATTTTGCTAGATAAGCATGTTAATTTTTTTGCTGGAGCGCTATGAATTTATAATGGGCACTTTGTCATCCGATTTCTGTTGTTATAATATTAAAGATACTTTCTAAAATAGGTCAATTACAATTCTTGGTCTTTTAACTTGCCACATAGTATTTTGCCATATAGTATTCCTATACTGATTTCTCTTTCCTGCTGCGTAAACTATCATTTTATATGATTTTATCTATTGGCCAGAAAACTGCCGTGTCAGGTTTTGTAAGGAAAGTTGAAATGCATTCCTGCGATGGCACTGGGGCTGGCTTAGATCTGTCCCTTGGATATCATTATCTGCTTCGTTACGTTTTTCAGTCTTCTGAATTTGCAGCTGTTAAAATTAGTTTTATTCTCATTTGTTGTCTCTGAGTATAAAAAGAAATAATAAGAAACAAATGGCAGGATATTACTAAAGACTTTAAACCCCAAAGACATTCCTGTGATAAAGGCACGGCTCGATTTTAAGTGGTAGTATCTCCATTAGCATTAATGGGGTAAGTACATCAGCTGAGGCATCTCAGAGGTTAATCAGGCTTCCTGGCTAGATCTTGCCATCAATACAGTGTGGCGCCTAATTCTGTTGGCCCTTCAGAGGTTTTCCTGACAACACACTAACAGACTTTGTGTAAGTCATTTCCTATGAATTATTAAAACAAACGTTTGGCTGCTAATTGATGAACACTAATGTGTTTTCTAATCACTGCAGTTTGAGATTTTAGCACTAAACAAAGCAGTTGCAATTGATTTGTGGCTGCTTCTTGGTTTCAGCCTGTGATGCGTACGGTTTTTTCCTTTTCAATTTAGCAGGCAGCTTAGCTTGTCTTTTTAGTTAAGAATTGGCTTGTTACAGTGTCATTCCGTTCTGATCTCTTTTGCTATTTCTTATTTATATTGCATTATAAATCAGCTCAATTCTTTCTCGTCAAATAAGGCGCAGTCCTTGATTCAAGGAGAAAATGTTTAACGTTGTAGTTTGGGTTGTTTTTCTTTAAATCTCTGCCTCTCCCACTGTGGGTACCCTTGCTCTTTCTCCACATAAAATCAAACAACATAAAACCAATCTTCAGCATCTTTAGATTATAAAAGCTGGTGCAGTGAATATGTTTTGAAACCCCCATCTGGAAAACATGCGGACTGTGGAAAGTCACATTGTTTGTAATGGGATATGGGTCTACTTTGTACAGAGCTGTCCTTTCTAGTACCTGGAGTATGGCGTTCGTAATTTTGCTGGGTTTCAGTCCCATATTCAGTTTTAATGCTGCAAGAGGCATAATTGCTGAGAAACGAATCAGTGTGTCTCTCATATCTATCAAAGGCCCAATTCCATGTCTCTTGCAGTTGTGCAGAAGACATAACTATTTCAGCATTAAGCATTAGTGGCTATAAGTATTTCTGTGTGTAACGCTGCCCTCCGCACACACTCATCTTGGTTTCTCCATGTGATTCTTATAACTATCTACGCTCTGTGCCTCTTGGAGTAAGTAAATAACAATGTTAAAGAAAAAAATAACATTTAGACAACATTAAAATATTTCTTTTTTTTAAGACTGTTTTGGAAGCTAAATTGCAAAATATAGGTGAATACTTCAAATCAATAGGATGCTAAATTTTTTCAAGCTGTTTCTTTCTGTACAGCCTTTTGCAGCCTATGCATCACTTATTAAAATATTTCTTTTGTCTGCTTCTGGTGTGCAGAGTCATATTGCTGTATATTCATATTGTTGAGAAAAAAATCAAGAGAGATCCATAAACCAACTTTAAACATTATTTATTGGTTCTCTTTATAGACGATAAAGACTGGACTTACGATGGTTGGGAAAGTAGTTACACAGCTGACAGGGACGCTGCCCTCAGGAGCAACTGAAGAAGAAATTTTAGCTCATAGCAACATCCGTCGAAGTCCTCTGGTGCCTGGAATCATCACCATCATTGACACAGAGACAGTTGCAGAAGGGCAGGTAATACAGTGTGCACCGAAACAGAATGTGCGTTCATTGTCAGAAACGTCGCAGGAAAATGTGGTTTATGCTTTACAAAATGAAAAAGAGATGAGATTTTTGCTAGGTCAAAAACTTTTACAGACACAAGCAGCTGTGATAAAGTCCTATTTGGGACTGAAATTAAGCCAGAATATATATTGTCCTTAGAACATATTTATGTGACACTTTGACAAGATCAAGTGTGAAGTGTCACATTCTGTCTCGCTAACACTTGTTCATAATTGACGTTGATTTATGCTGATCAGTTGAAATGTATATGTAGTCTGATTATTAATATAGAATGTGTCTGGAAAATGTGGGTGTTTAGAAATACGGTGAATTGTTGAATTCCAGTTTAAAAAAGATGATGAGTGGAGCTGGATATTCAGTATAAAAGCTTCTGATTTTAGAGACATTTCAAAACTAAAGTGTAATCAAGTACGATGCTGGTTTGTGAGGGATATGCTATGTACTCTCGTACTAACAACACACAGGACAGTGTGCCAGGCAAAATCATTTGTTAAAAGATCCATGCCGTTATCACACAACTTGAAGTTGTTTTGAGGTGTCCTTAGGACAGAGGGGATAGCCACGTCTGTTTGTTTGTTTCTGACAATCAGGTAATGTTGAAGTGTCTGGTCCTGGAATGGGTGTTTTTGCAGGACTCCCATGCACTGCATTATTGTGTAACCAGGCTGTAAAACAGACTAATGTTCACATTTATTGAATTTAGAAAAAGGAAAAACAGTTTCTTTTCTCTTCCCCTACTTTTATGATGCTTATTGCAGGTAAGTTACTAAGTAGTAATGACAAATCAGCAGTGAAGCTCTTTTCTTACACGAAAGGAAAATAGAATATCTTACTTGAAACCGAGCAAACCAAAAACCCCAGTCTGCTGCTTGAGCTGTGGCTGTTCCTGAGAGCTAGCTGTGGAAGTACTTAGCCAAGTAATGTTACATTGAACATGGATCGTTCATATAATGTTAACGGCCTTTTCTTGCAAAATTAAAACCGGAGAAAAAGCAAAAAGAGGAGAATAAAAAAAGGAATGTATTTTACTTAAGATCTTGAAGTCTTAAAATCGCTGATTTTTTTTGGCTACTGGGGTTTGTTTTCATTTCCTGAAAAAAAAAAAGGTTCTTTTGGCTCTTCTTATACTGCCAGATAAAAAAAGAAAGAAAGAAATATTTTGCTTCATCAATTTCTCATGAAGCCGTGTTTAATGCGGTCATTACTTGTGGTGGTCATTGTCTGGCCTTTGATTCTTCTGCATGGGCCTAGGGGGAAAAAAAAAGATGTATCTTAGGTTTTTAAGTCTTGTTATGTATGATTTAGAGGTTTTATGAACTTGTCCTCTGACCTTAGCAATAGTAGGGAGCTATCAAGCCTAAAGGGCACTATGGAAAAGTAGTTGTAAAAATGATAACGCTTGCCTTGTCCAAATAGTGCTGCTGTAACATAAATAAGCCATCAGTTGTAGGGAAATAATTTTTGTCTTGAATCTCTAGGGGAGGAGGCTCTAAGTTAGATACCCGAGTTGTTTCTGTGCCTCGCATTCCTATTGTTGTCATCTGGAGTTTTAAAATTCATCATTTATTTTCAGTGCTGAGACTTACTTTCAGGACTTGCTCTAGTTGGGGGGGGTGGGGGTTCTCCAGGAAAATCAAATCATTTTTCATTTGCATTGTTAGAATTTCATGGTACAGAAGATTTCTCAACAATCAGTTCTTACAGAAATGTGCATTTAGCAAAAGGAAAGTTGATTAAAGCCAAATACAATTTGTACATGGTTTGAATAAAGACTCTTCTTGGACCTTGGCCCAGTAAAGAACTTTCTGATGCAGGGAATGTCATGTGTCCCCACTGAGTTCTTGTCCATCGCTCCAGCCAGGTAGGAACAGAAGTTTCTGCACACACAGTTCCATTGGAACATGATTTTAGCAATCGTGTGAGCTGCCGTGTCCTGAGGTGCCTGGCAGGGATCCTATGTCTGTGTGCTGATAGAAGCAGGCAGACCTGTGAGAAATGACATTCTAGTTCAGATGGCACCTCTTTGTGCTGGCTGGGCAGCCCTGGCTGGGTTTTATAGCATAACTGAGTGAAGCTTCAGCTCAGGAAAGCAATTTAGCAAGCCTGACCTTTAGATGATGTGAGTCATTTCGCTGAGCTAAATGTGCTTGCTCGTAGGCTTCACTATAAACTCGTGGTTGAGCATTGTGCTGGTTTAAAATCTCTATGGCTCTTTGAGCCACACAGGTTTTTCCTCGTTGTATTAATTTCTGTAGTTGTTTTACTCCTCTGTGGTAAATTGGTTTGCTGGTAGTGGTCATCCAAACTGCACTGTTACTGCCATGCTGGTTGAAATAAAAGAGTGACTGAGCAGATTGAGTAATGCAGAGTTCATTCAGCCTCACCTGTGTTGAAGTGTGTGCTGTTCAGCAGCATGGCATAGTTTAATCTCAGTTTTCTTGCTGATGTGTGGCAGTGATTTTTCTAAAATTATTGGTTTATAATTCCAGTTTTCAGATTCCAGGGAGAAATAAGAGATCTGGGTGGGAACAAAGAGGCACTTGGTGGCATTCTTGCTTCCTCCTGGTTTGGAATATTCACTGCTGCTTGGATAGGGATGCTGCTGGATGGCAGTGCCCATTACAAGCATCAGTCTTCCTAAACTTTGTGGTACACCACAAGAATTAGTAGTGCCAACTTGTGTTTTCTGGGCTGCATTAATAGTTTGAAAGCCTTGCATCGCTTTCATTAGAGATTTTTCTGGCAACTATGTAAATGTACTTGTGTGTGTGTGCATGGTTTTCAGAGGTTGTCAGCCTGATCGTAAATGGAGTTTCAGAAGCAGAAAGGAGTTGTTTTCTTATCGTCAGTGAACTCCTAATGTAAGAGGAGTACCTCACCTCCTTCAGGTCACTAAAGATTTCTATCTACCTGCGTAGCCTGACTAAGAATTTGGGTGTTGTGATGAAATTTCTAAGTGATAAAATATGTCATTAAGGTAATGAATGGTAAAAATAAATGGAAGCAATCTGTTTTAAAAAGAGAAAGAAAATGGAAGAAGAGGACAGTAAATCTTAAGGCGAGCAAATGGGTCCTTTTGAAGGAGAAATAAGGACTTCTTTTTCAGTGGGGAAGCAGTTGAGGTTTTGTTATTAAGTATATCTATGTGAAGGCTTGCAGAGTAATGATGCATGTGCCTATCCATTTACCTTGAGCACAGCAACGCAGGTTTTAAAGGAGTGAGCTGCTCTGTGCGTGTGTACAAACATACAGATTTGTTTGCCAGTAGGATAATTAAGGAACATATTTTGGACATAAGCCAGAAGGACTAACTACAGCTCTGTGTTTTCCCCAGTTTTTATTATATCTGCCATTTAAAAGGTAGCAATATAAAGAATGTGAGATGGAGCTCGATGTATTAAATGTACTGCGCAGAGGTCGAACTGCTCGCTCACCACTGAAAAATATACAATTAAAGACCAAAGAAATCTTCTAATGTAATCTTGCAGGATTAAATCTGTAGGGAAAATCTTTTTAATAAGCCTTCTGAATGTAGATGCAGTAGTAAAATCTCATACCCATCAGTTCTTTGTATGATAGCTCCTACTTTCATAATCAGTGGCACGTTAAGAAAATGTGAATTATGAGACAGTTAAAGAAATGCAAAGGAATGTAGAATTATTGAAGTTGGCTGTCGTGATATGTTTGTAAAGGGAGTAAAAATAGTTATCAAGATGCCCGAGTAACTTTGTAGCAAGCCCAAGTATGTTAACAAGGTTGTGTGCTTGTTTAAACTGCCTTCTGATGAAGTGTGAGCGAACTTTTCAGCTAGATGCAGTGACTATTTGTTTGAATCCGATAATTAGTGGAAATGGATAAAACAAAAGCTGTGCAGATGTCCTCTTCTTCAGTGATCGGGATTAAATGTGTAAGCCTTTAGTGGCCTGAGTTTTAAAGAAAAATGATATTCTTTCGACCTTTGTTTCTGTATTCTTAATTAATTCATCAACTCGGCCACCCACATGTAGGCTGCAATAATGGCCTCTCTCCAAAGTCGCCAGCTTTGTGCCTGAATGTAAATCTGTTAAACATCTAACATTTAGTTGACAGAGAAATATGTGGTCATTTGAAAATCCAAAACTCGATTCTCAGGGCTTTTGATAGAGCGCTGTGATTGATGAGTGTTGCTCTCACAGCTCATCCAAGATTCAGGAAAATACCTGAGGAAATCTTTAAGAAACAGCTTACAAACCCAAGATGGCATGTTGATCTTTTCATGGTTTCAAATGTGGTTGGTGCTTGCTTTTTTTTTTCCTGTTCCCTATTAACTTTTTATTGCATTAAGAAGGAATTTTCAGAAAAAAACCCTGGAGACTGCTGCAGTTTCAAAAGTTCATTTTCCTTTAGTAAGGAGTTAATAACGACTGAACCAAATAAAGTTGCTTATCGGGAGCAGGAATTGCTGTGAAATTTTGGTCTGAAGCAAAAAGAAGCTTTCTTTATTCTTTATAAAGCAAATTCAATAATAAAACTTTAACTACACGTGTAATTTCACTGTCATTAACACCAGTGTTTTTATTTTGAGAACAGCTTTCACAAAGGCTAATCTGATGTTCTAATGCTCATATATTTGGCATCAATTTTCTTCACTTTTTATATCTACGTGTATTACAGAAGAATCCTTTTTATATATAAATATAAAAAGAGCAACAGGATTCCCTCAGAGCATAATACTGTCTGCCTTACTTTTATTAAAGGGGATCTGTTTTTTGTCAAGAAGACATTTTTGTCTCAGATAAATGGTTCAGGCTGAGCACAAGGCTGGTTTGAGTTTATGCTGGATTCTATTAAAAGGAGTGCAGTAGTTAATGCCGCAGATCTATCACTTTTAGCCCTTTTCCACTGATGTTTGACCTTAGCTATAAGTTGGGGGGAGGCTAATGGGGGGGGGGGGTGGGATGTCAGTGTGAAAGGGGTGGGTTTTGTGCTTAGGAACTGAGGCCAACACTGCCCTAACTTCAGCTATTTAAATCAATGCAGGTCTTAATGAGTGTACATACAAAGATCTCTTTATTATATACTATTCAGATTTATAAATATTGCCCAACCTATTCGTTTTTATGATGATGGGATTATTCTTTCTTAATTTTATTAAGAGTAGGACCTGCTTGATTAGATTTGTGTCCGTTTGTATTTGTGTTACTTTCATGTTTTATTTAAAAACATGTCTCTACTGGGATAAGTAGTGTAATTTGCCTTTAAAGATTAAAATAATTGAAGTCATAATTACAAGTGGCTTCTGTTCAGCAGTATGGAAAATAGAATGAATGAAGAAAAATATGGCACAAGAGAAAAAAGCTTTGGCTTCAGCTATCTCATGCCCTCAAAGCAAACACTGTTTTCTGATAGTAAATGTAATGATCCCCTAGGTGTGTTGTTTCTTTCTCTTTCATAGTGAGATAAAGAGGGCTTGCTTCATCTTCGATTAACTCCAGTGTGCTGTTGAACTTCATAGAGCTGGCTTCAGTGCTGCAGCATTGGCTTTGTGTGTCCAGCTACTGGCTCTCTTAGCTGGGCAGCCTTTTATTGAACATAGTGTTGCAGCTCTCTTGATAAGGTACTATTTGGGTATCAGGAGTAGACTGAGTGCTTCTTTGCAAGGCCATCTTGGTACAAGAGCCTTTGTTTGTTTCTTGGTGGTGGTCGTTCTTAAAATGGTGTTTCTCCTTGTAATGGTAGGGAAGTGTATGAGGAAGATAGTTGAGCATCCTCGTGACCCTCAGTGACTGTGCAGTTATAAAGGTAATGCTAAGATTTATGAAACTTTTCCAATGAGAGAATTCGTAAGGTCTTTTAATAGAAGAGTGACTGGAGGCCACCACCTTGGGGAATGAAGCCTACTTGGGATGATAAAGATTGCAGCCTCAGGATTCCTGTGGGCTTTGTCTGCAGCGTGTGCTGGGAAGCTGAATGAGCTGCTTCCTTCGAGCTTTCTGACAGCACTTGCATGCGTTGTTAAGCAATTTGTACCGCTGGTTTCACTTCCAAGAAAAATTTCCATCTCTGCTCTTTTCAGTGGTAAGAAACCATAAACTGGCCAAAAGGAACGAGTTGTACAGTGTCGGTATCGACTGAATGGGCCCTTCGTTAGCCTATGGACATTGTTCTCTCCAACACTTCTCAGGTAGCATCTTCCACTTCAGCTTTTGCAAGAAGTGGTTTCTAAAATTTGTGAAGCCTCTGTGGCAGAGGCCTTTGATACTCCTTCATCGCTGCACTGCTCTGGTTTCCATCCTCTGCACGGATTCTGTGCTGTTTGATTTACCCAAACGATATAAACCCTCTTGTACTGAGGTAGTTATGTCTGCTTAAAGATCTCTATTCCAGTATAAAGCATCTTGTGTTATACCAGCATAATTTTGTCTTCCTTAAGTTACATACAATGGTGAAAATCATACTATGATTTTAAAGCTCTGCAAGCTTTAAGTTGGCATGTGAACCGGGCTCCTGTTTTATGGCAGGTTTGGAAGGGGCATTTCCAAAGAGGGTCTTCTTTGGTTTATGATGTAGTTAAGTCAACTGCTGTAATTCCTTTGATTTATTCCTCCCTCCTTCCTTTGTAGTGTTGAAACTGTAAAAGGTGATGTATGTTTTCCCCAGCAGTCCACTGGAGGACATGACAAATCCATCAGTGCAGCCTCAAGATTTAAACAGAAGTTGGTGATTTTAAGCCAAGCTCTTCCCTTCTCAGTTCCACAAGGATTTATTTTTTCACGTTGATTTTCAAAAGCTGAAGAGCATTTTTCGACTTCATCTTAACTTGCACAAACAAGTGCTGTTTCCTTGTGTGCCTCAGAAGCAAGTATTTCCATTCTGTGGCCACAGTTGGTGGGGACTGACAGGGAAGAAAGGAGGTGGTGCGGCACCATCACAACCCGAGTTTCAGGTTCTGTGCTGTCCAGGGATTTCCAGGCTTTTGTGGGTGATGTTTTTGGAGACTGACATCTTTCAGTTTGAGTCTGAAAGCTCTGCATGAGCCAGGTGTGGTGGCAGGCAAAGGTTTTCAGGCTCTACAAGCTCACAGTTGCTTTTCTTTCCTTATTGGACATTATGCCAACAAGATGGTCTTTCTTGTCTTTCTGACACAGAGGAGAAAGCCAAAGCAAGGACTGGTTTGCTGTACCTGAACATCAGCTTTTACAGTGAAAAGTGAAGATTTTTAAGAACTCCTTTTAGATGAAACACAAAGGGTGTTTTTCCAGGAAGATAATCTTAAGCAGTGTTTGAGAAAAAGCATTTAAAAGCATGGAACCAGTCAGCATAGCATACAAATAGTAGGTTTGGGCTTTATTGTAGTCACAAATTGGAATGTCTGAGGTGTTTCACAGTTTTTAACGTTGTGGTATTTTTGCTTTGTATCATATTTCCAGAAGGAAAATATTTAAAGGTCATCTTACCATCCAGAGCGTTTCTTGTCCATTGAATAGGGGGTTATGTTGCAGAGATAACAGTGGAGCGTTTATCATTAGTTAATACAGAAAAGCCTTGCTGAATCAATCTGTCTGTAGAAGGTGATGCATGTGAAATATCCTACATCACTGTTTTTAGCAATCATTTTAGATACTGTTGGTGTATACACGTTCATGGGTGAAACACTTTTGTTTAGCAGACTAGATTTAGAACCACCTGAAGCTGGTTTATGATGTTACTTTATCATTACTGTGTATGTTTAACTAGAGCGAAGTGTTAAGGATGAGACCAAGTTACCTAAAAGTGAAAAAGATGATCTACAGGAGTTATTTAGTGCAGCTTATATCAGCTGAGGAAAGAACAGTGTTTCTTTGAAATGCTCTTAGGAAGATCTCCAGACCCTTTGGTTAGTGGTTCTGGAATAAGCACGAAATGCTGACAACGGAAAGCAAAACCATAATTGTGCTTATGTGACAGTGCCAAGTAATTTGAATGTTTAAAGTAAGTCAGGCGCAGGCCTCTTCATCCTTATTACGTGACTTCTTTAAACATTTAAAGATGATTTCTCTTTTTGAAGCATAAAAATATCTTCAAATTATTCTGATATCAGTTAGGAATAGGAAGTATTAAAACCCTTTCAGATTGTTTTGGAAGCAGCAGACAAATTATTCTGAACCTGAAATGGGAAATTTTGCACTCTCTTGTTAAGAAGGTGGTTTTTGCTTACCACAGAAACCCTTTCACTAAGTCCTTTCCTGACAGATTTTTCTCCTTGGTTTATTTCATTTAGTCTTTAACATGATGAAACCAAGGAATAAAATACTTTTACAGCTCTTGCGTATGCTTTGTTCACACTTTTTTTTGGTTCTCTTCTAAATACCTAAGGATATATTTTCCCTTTCCATACAACTAGACATTGGTAATACTGTGTTCTTTTGGAGGTCCTTTTGTGTGTCTTCACAATCAGCTTTGGTTTTGACTGGGCCAAGTGGTTTTATCAACTTCAAATACCCTTTTGTTTAAGACAACCAAAAGCTCGTCCTTTGTCCCTCCCTTCAGAAGATGTTGCACAACACATTTCAGGCCAGGTATTTCCTTTTCCCCTTTATTTCCTTCTGCTGTGAAAACTCTCTCCTACCTTTTAATTATCTTTGTTGTTCACAAGCAGGTATTTTACAACAGCAGAATTATTTAACCTTTTGTAATACCTTTTTTAACCTTTGCAATGCTGTCACAATGTCCATTGAGGCAATTTAATCAGATTCTTGTTTAGCAATGCAGCTGCTTTCATACGTGCTCTTAGTCCTTAGCATTTCTTGTGTCGTTTGGAAATCCAGATACCTCAAGTCTGTCACCACGTGTTAGCAGGATGCAAGCTGTAGAGTTCCTGCCTGTGTAGCTGATGGAAAGCAAGGCCATAGTTTTATGGGTATTGGGTCTGTTTTTCCGTCCTATGTATACTTTGAATCCTCATGAAGAAAATACTGATTTATGTAATAGTTAAATATTCCCTTTTCTTTGAAAAAGTCTATGCAACCTCCTGTTTTTCCTTCCATTATGTGATTTTTGTTATTGCTTAAGGAAAATCATGTGTTGCTTTCAGCTAGAGAGCTATGCGTGCTCTTCAGAGGAATGACACTGATCCTCCTTACGTTAGTCCAACTGCATGATGCTGCTGAGCCTGGTGGAATGAGAGCTCTGCTCCATGCGAGCGCTGAAGGAGCTCCTGTCACATGTTATGAGTAATGATCACAGTATCCCACACTGCTTTGTGCTGGAAGGGACCTTTAAGCTCATCCAGTGCCCAACAGCAGTGGAAGCAAATGCAGCTTCCTGGTGCACTGCGTACAGACTTCTTTTGTAATAAACTTCTATTCAGCCATTACTACTTCAAAACAGTACTGGTTTTCCATTTTGCCTTATTTGAATAGGCTAAATAAATAGGGAATCCAGGTGGAAAGTGCATGATCTTGTCTATTTAATAGTAGGTTATTTGAGCATGTCTCATGTCTCGTTATCTGAAAAAAAGAAGGTTGTATTTAGTTCACATGTAGTTAACATTGCTAATTTGTGCCCCTGTATCTGTCTTGTAAAACAATTCCTATATGGTTAAGTTGAAATTTTCTCTTAGGTGTACTTTTACTTTCTAACCTTCCTTCATCTCTATTAATATTATGCAGGTACTTGTCAGTGAGGACTCTGATAGTGATGGTATTGTGGCCCACTTCCCTGCTCACGAAAAGCCTATTTGCTGCATGGCTTTTAACCCTAGTGGTAAGTTATTTTATTGTTTTAACATGATAGTTGTAAACAAGATGAAGACAGTAAAGTGTCATAAATGTGTTCTCTGGAGGAACTGCAAATGCTATTGTGATACATGCAATTATCTACTCATTGCTTCTAGGACTTCTGACCTGCTCTCTTGAGGGTTGAATGTGTCACACAGTGGTTAATGTCTTTTTTTTTGTTTGAAATTTCAAACTGAAGCAGATCTATACTGTGGTGTAAGTGAGAAGATTCAAGTCTTCCACTTTGAATGTAGAAGTACTAGGGAATTCCTTTCTGTTGGGTATCCTGCCCACCAGGTATCCAGATGTTCCAATATGCAGGTATCCAGAGGATCAGCCCACATGTTAAATTGTACTCCTCTGTAAGTATGACAGTGAAATTAATTGTTTCACTTTTAAAGTATCTTACACTACCATTTATGTGTTTTGTTGATGGAGTTTAGAATTCCACCCGTGCTCTGAGTGAAATCAACTGTAATTTGAAAATGCTTTTAAGAACCACCTGAAAAGTACCCATTCCTCACATTTTTCTTTGTAAATGAACAATGTCTGTGGGCATCAGAGATACCTACAAATCCTGTCTGTTAATAAATCTTACCAAATTGACAATTAACATGTTTGCTACTCTGCCTATAGGCAGAAGAACCCCTAAGCGTTGCAGTGGATTGCAGTAGTAGTCAGTGCAATGGCCGGTGAATCAACAGCTCCCACTTGCCCAAATGAGCAGTTTCTAAAACGTAGCAAATGCCATGAAGATCTTGAGGCTGGAGTCGCATTTCAGAGAATAAAACTAAAAGTGTCATTTATGTTTTCACTTTTACTCACCAGTTGGTCTTACTCTGACGTCCCATTTTCACTGTGGGTTTTTGACATAAAACCCCTGTATTCCCATCTGGCTGAATTTTCCTCTGATACTTCAGAGAACTTCTCGTGGAACTCTCTGCATTTAACTGAGAATCAACTATGCCAGCTCCAGAACAGTAATGTTTTTGCTTCATTCTCTTGTAGAAAGATAGTACCTAGAGTTGGGCAATGCTATTTAAGAGAAAGAAATACAGCTGCTTAAACGCCATATAGAGATTAATGAAATGCCTCCTTAAGACAATTTTTATGATTGTATAAACTTCAGAATGTTGATGCAAAAGCAGATTAACTGGTTATTTTTTAAATGGAATGCTATATTTGCATATTGTTGGATTACTTGTTTTATAATCAAGTTCTTTTGGTTTGCTCGGGGACTAAAATGACAATTCTTTGTGTGTGATACAACATTCTTACCTTAGGTCTAGTGGTGCAGTGAGATACTCAATGGCAAAACACTTCGCCTAATTGGTGTTCTTCTTGACTGATTGCAAATTACGTGTTCTATGAGACAAATGCAGGAGGGATGAGTCACAGCCAGGTATCAAACCAGTTGAAAACCATCACCTCAGCTGCCTACAGCATGAAAGCAGCACTCAACACCGGATTCTGTATTCTTTATTGAACATCAAGGCAGAACTTTGTTTGAGGCCAGTGTTTTAACATCATCTTCATCCATTCCATAGTGGTACATTGCCAATCAAGCTGATCTCATTACAAAGCAGAACAACACAAGAAGTGGCTTTTGATCCTGTCTTTGGCTGTTGGCTGGTTGTAGTGAAAACCACTTTTGATTTCAAGCAGTGTCTGTGATGCTGCACTCGAACGCAGCAATTGCTAATTTTTGCTTTAAAGGCAAACAGGGAACACCAGTCTGTTTCAGTGAAGTATTTTATTCCCTATGGCTCATTAAATAGCTTAATTTTATCATGTGTCATCCCAAGGGTCCATGGCCTCTACAGGTCTGTACAAACTTACAGGATTGTGTTTGGAAAAAGTCCTGAACAAAGCCACCACTGACATGGGAGCTCACTAAAAGTCAATGGATATGGTAGATGGATATATATGTTTTTGTGTGGTAAACCAGTAGAACAGCACCACAGCCACTTCAAGCTGTGTTTTAAAGGTATCAGTTACCAGTAAGATACAGTTTGGGGGGTTTCTGCTGTTTATTTTTCCATGCTGAGCAAGGAGCTTGCTAGGGAGAAGTTATGAGTGATCAAATAACAGTACAAAATGTATGGGTATCGCTGAGAGAATAGCTCCTTGTAATAGATTGTTTCACTGTAGGATTATCAGAAAGCAATCCAGTGGGAAGGGGAGAGAGTCACTAATGTCAGTAAATGGCAGTTGTATTTTCCCCTGGTCTTTCTTTTTGAAACCAAGAAGAAATCCCTTACTGCACTTACAGCATCCGAGATACATTAAGTTATTATGGGCCTGGCTGAGTCTGTTGCAAACAGTGTCAGGACTCTTGCTGATAGGTGTGTGGGTCTTTTTTGTTGGCTTTTCTGGTTTGCTTTGGGTTTGAGTCTGTGGGTTTGCGTTTTCCTCCCGGCAAGGTAAATAATCCATGTGGAGTTCCAAGCAGGGCTGGTTGGCAGGGAGAACCGCCCGTATGTGTTACAAGGCAAAAGGCTGAAAGAACAAGCAGGGGTGTTTCTGCATAGCACTTCATTGGGCTGTGTAGACGTTTCTGTAGTGACTTTTGCTGGCATTAGATCTACCTTTTGTTCAGATTTAAGGCAAATCTGTTGACTTCTTTGCCCATTTTGAGGTATTTGAAGAAACTTGGCATATAGTTAACTTTCTGGGTATTAGACCTATGGCTGCTCTGAAAGCCAGCTTGGATAATAAAATAACAAACTTGAATACAATTTTTGAGTATATTTCGGGGGAACCACACTTTGGGGTTTTTAAATGCTGCCTAGCATGTCCCTGTATACCTCTTCCAGACCTATATGTTAATAAAAGCTTGCTTCTGAGTCAGGGAGACTGTAAAAGGCTCAGTCCAAGACATGTAGCAAATCATGTTTAGCATTGGGGGGGGGGGGGGGAGAAACATAAAGATGAAAAACTGCAGTTCCTGGTGGTTTTGGGTTTGCTGTGTTTTTTTCCTGTGTCTATCAGAAAAAGTTGTGCGGGTTTAGTGTGGGCAGTGGGTTGCTGGGGTTTTGGGGGGTGGAGGGGAGGGACTGTACTGCAGCTGAAAGTTTGTGGCCAGGCATCTCATCCACAAAATCCCTTAGTCCTGTGGAATTTCTAAAAGCTGGGTCCCTGCATGTGTTGTTATTGCCTCTCTGCTCAGCATTTTTCATTTTAATAGGTAAGATATGCAGTAGTTCAATAAAAGTGGGAAAGAACCGGTCCTCCTTTGCCATTTGTTGCTGACTGAATCTTTGGGAAGCAGGCACAAAATGCTAACGGGGTCCTTATTCTAGTGGTAAAAATCAAAGCTATGACGTGAGGCTCCTTAATCCGCTCCCTTTGCCAGCTGTGTTGTCAGCTTTGAGGGCAGTGTTTCTTCTGGCTGGAGGGCACACTTCCTATATAACATTCTTGTTCTGGTTTTGGAAGTGTGCTTAATAAATCCGATTCCAAGTTTGAAGCTCAGGTGACTTGGCACTGTGGCTTGTTTTCTTTTTCCTTTTTTAATTGCTAGAATGTGAGTATTTCGTGGATCGTTTTCTTCCATAGGAAACTGGCACAGTTTTTCCAGACACTTTATTATATGTCAAAATCCTCATTTATTTATATAATGCCATATATGTCAGGGATTGCGTTTGTGACTTACATGAAGGTAAGGTTCCTCTTCTGAAGCGCAAATGTTCTGATTGTTTTGTTTAAAACATCCATCCAATATTGAATAAATTAAATGCTAGAATAATAATCTAGCATTGCCAAGTGCTGTGGAAATGCTGCTGTCTATTAACAGGAAAAAGGATCTGATTTTTGGCTCTGTTTGCTCAGTAAGTAATGCATACCCATAGTATTTATTTATGTTTTACCACAGCCCCTTCCCATGAAGTGACTTTTGCCACCACAATATGTGGCAAGGATACTTGCATGTAAGAGGAAGGAGCTCTGGGGCCCTGGTGCAGGTGATGAGCAGAAATGGGCTCCTGCCAGTGGAATAATTCATGCAGCTTGGCAGTGGCCAGCAAGGCGGATGAATTCTGTGGGGAGCTGTGGCAGGTAGACTGTGCTGTAGCTGCTCCAAGGCTTTTGAATGGCACTCACTGGATGTCTTTTGATTATAGCACTCTTCTGTAGTTGATTGGGAAAATAGTAGTCTTTCTTCAACCTAATTGGTTATGATCCATGTCCAAGAAGGTGGGCACATCTCTAGCACCATGTCCACTCTTGTCATTGCTGAACAAGGAAGGCAGCTTCTAGCTTTTAGGAAGTCTTCAAGCTTTTTATTAAAACACTTCAAGATAAGAATAAATAATACAAGAAAGTGAAGTAATATTAATAGACTGGGGACTTTATTACAGTACCTTTGGCATACATATTGATGTAGTGGAAACAAGAGGCTTACACAGAGACCCTAAGAACAATTACTTTAATTCACTTATTAAATGAAAATCACATTAAGGCATTGTCAGGATGCTTCTACTTAGTGTTAACACTGACTTACTATTCAGTTGCAGATTAACTGAAGGCAAGCTTACAACAGAGTGTCCGGGCAAGAATGTAGTACTGTTTCCTGATTGCCATTAAGTAATTTAGATTTATTTAGATTTATTTTTCAGACTGCATCTATGCAGATATGCTCCCAAACCTGCACATCATGCTTGTTCTGCTTATATATATATATATATATATATATATATATATATATATGTTTTGTCCTGAAAAATTTTTTGATACCTTTATATTGAGTCCAGGACCAAGACCTGTCTATGGGGTTATAGTCAATACACCTTGGCCTCACAAAAATAATGTAGGATGTTGTTAGTGATGTTGAGTTGCGCATTATGTCACCTGGTGATTTGGCTTTCTCCGTGCTATAAATGTAAGGTACCTAGAAACGTCAGTTATATATAACCAGTAACAATTTTCTGTTATATAATGTAAACCAGCAGTATTGACACTAAGGTCTCTATTTATTATGGTTGAATT